AGGAGGAGAGGAGGAGGAGGAAAGACTCCACTACTACCTACCTGTGGAGTGAAAGACTGACTTGACTTCACTGCCGTCGATTGTTCGGCGCTTTTGAAACAGAATAAGTGGATCTGTGATCCGTGATTGTCAAGCAGAATTATTAAAAAAAAAGGAAGGTGTAACTCGCTTAATGGAGTCATGCTTAACGATCCATCATCCCATCCATCCATCCGTTCGTCCGTCCATGAGGTTACCTACCTACCTACCTAATCTGCCATCTTTGGTTCCGTTCCGTCGTCAGGGCAGGGTAGAGATTGCTTTGTATAGCCTAGCCTTAGTCTTAGCTTAGTTCTGCGATAGAATACATCTACAGTATAAGGTATGTATGTGTGTATGAAAGCTCCGACACGATACCCAAAGAAGAAGGAAAAAGAGATTTCCTTTTTCTTGTCGTCTCCTCCTGTTCCTGCCCCTGTTGTCTCCTCTCGTGCCGTGTCTACAGTATGCAGTATGTCCTGTCTATGTATGTATCTATGTATTACATGCATACGCTAATCCAATAGGATTGACAGGATTGATCATGGGCATGTGTGCTAGCTGCTGGGTGGGATGGATTGTGTTATTCTATTGTGTTATATATGTACTTACTTACTTGTGTACATTACAGACATTAATGAAATTATATAATGGCATAGCATGGTTTGATATGCTTTGATATGCTTTGGTTGGGTTGGGTGCAAGTGTCTGTCTATGCATATCGCTGTAGGAGTGTAAGAGTACTCGGACTATGTCCATACATACAGTACATATGTAGGTTGATTGATTGATTTAATGATCAGGCAGACAGGATGTATATACAGTACGTTTTCGGTGTCAATAGTATTTAATGCGATACTGCCAGCAGATTGTTTATCGATGAAGGAATGACAAGAAAAAGAATAGATAATCTTTCCTGTTAAATAGAGTAGATATGTTGATCTGCTGAGTAGTTATCTTCCTTGAACCCGGCACTTGCTAGCTGATATCCTCCTTATTTTCTGGTAATAACAATTTCTCCTGCAGGCAATGAATAGAAATTGCAACAAAACTCCTCCAAAATCATGCTTATACTTTCCTCTGATTCTGAGCAAGAACACTCATACACTCGCTGAACACGTTGTATGAGAAGAGGAATTCGTGAAAGTCCGGGAGGGTGGCTGTTACTGTCAGTATTCCAATATACATTTTTTTTGTTTCTGACAGATCCCCGCTGATATGTATACATACTAGGTATCTTTCCATCCTTGATATGCACTCCCGCCGCCTCCTTCATCTTCTCTGCCTGATCCGTCCCTACGAGTGAGAAGATCTGGATAGCAGACGCCCGGTCCCTACGCACCGACTCGAACAGCTGCAGACGCGACGACACGCTATCTGTCGGAGTGAAGTGCGAGAACAGGACTCCCAGCGCTGCGGCGTCTTCGATCGCTTGGCCTGCCCCTTGGCCTTGGTCTGTTGGGTGTTAGCTGCTGTACATTTATTTTATTATGCTGTGTTTGTTTGATGAAGGGACGGCTAACGAGGGAGCATCGGATGGGCCGCGTCTCCGATCAGCACGAGCCTGTTTTTGATCCAGGTGAGCAGTGGATTCCGTGAAAGTAGGGGCCAGAGCTTGATCTCGTCGGCGTGGCTAACGATGTCAGTTTCGTCCAGTTGAGCGTAATCTCCCTGTCTGCCCACACACACCTGCAGATCGCTCTGAGCCTGGGATGAAAGTCGGCAAACGCCTCCAAAAGTTGCTCGCGTGATGCGGACGAATTCCAATCTACTCCACACGGTTAGCTAGCTTTCCTCGTGGACTGCAAGTCAGAAAGTGTGCTGTGCTACCTGCACGACCCTCTCCCGTATCCGGATGAACTGCCACAAAGTTTTGAATCTCGTTTCTACCGACGCTGTCAGTATGTAATATCGTTCGAAACGCACATCTTCGAATGCAACGACTGACCCCCTGCACGGGTACCACACCAGTCTGCGATCTTCGCCCACTGCCAGGGTCAACCGAACCGTCGAGTCTTCGAACAGAAGTCTGGTCTGCTCATCTTCAAGGAGCGTTTTCGTCGGGATGAGGAATCGGAAGGCTGCCTGTCCGGTCCGAGCGGCTGGGCTGTCGAAGCCTGTGACTTTGTAGGCGAACCGCGACTGTGTACCTTTCTTCGTTAGCATCTACTTGAATGTGCCCTAATAATAATAAAGTGTTCGCGCTCACATGAACGCCGTCAGCAGCGACGATGAGATCCTTTCTATGTGTCGACCCATCGGCCAGCGTCAGCGTTCCCTCCTCGCAGTCGACATCGACCACTTCCGCTCCGAGATTGATCTTCGCAGGACGCACCTGACGACGACGGCGACTCCACGGTCAGCCGGCGCAGCTCGCTGTGCAAGTCCACCCGATGGAAGGAGAGGTAGCGATTGCAGTATTTTGCCGGGATGTGCGTCAGGTCGGTGACTTGGAGCAGTTCGAGGGTGCTGCCCTTGAGAAGATGATGCTAATCGACATAAATACGCAGTCTGGGTCATTGAATATTGGTGTGTTTACCTGCTCAAGATCCAACGCCTGCGCCCGTTCGAAATCGAATCCCCAGTATTTGAGAATCCTGGTTGCGTTCGGGGAGGAGTGGATTGCGGCGCCGACTTCGCTTTTGAATTGCGAGCGTTCGAAGATCTAGACTGGTCAGTGAGCTTTAAAAAAAAACCAAAAAGTTTTTCAAGCTCAAGAGTCGTCCAATCTTCCACTGGAATAGAGACACACCTCAACACGATGCCCACTCCTCGTCAGGGCTATCGCAGCACTCAATCCCGCAATCCCAGCTCCGACAATGCCGACGTCAAGACTGACATCGCCTGGACCTGGCGCGAAGGCATCTGGGGGAGGTAAGAATCCAGGATTGTGCATGGTGGAAGCGACAACAGCAGACGATATTCAACAAAGGGGAACAACTGAGAGGAGTCATCTATGTATAAAGATAGAAAGGCGGGGATCTGCATGTTCATGGGTATATATCCCTGCGCATGCAGCGGGATGCTGGCCAGTGGACGTGTCAGATTTGCGGTACTGTACTGTATGTACAGCATGCCCCTTACGGAGTAAAATTGAGATTGCTGCAGCTGCAGCCAGTTACGTAGCAATAAAATAAATTGAAAAAAAAAAAGAAGAGAGAGAGAGACGATAGAGAGACACAAAAAAAAGATAGTGGTTCAAGTTTCGAGTAAGAATTGATAACTAGGTTCAACACATAAGTTTACACCTATCAACACTAGTTTACCGAGACTAGGTCGGCAGTTCATTGCATAAGACGTACCCCGAACACAACGAACAGAGTATGTCGTACATTAGTATATTGTCAAATACCTAAACACACTCATATCCCTATATATTTCCTAGATTAATTAAGATTTTACAGACACTAACTCTACTGTACATACTATACTGCGCAAATTCCAGCCCCAAGTTCTAGCGATGCCATTGGTTGTTTTTTTTTTGTTTTTTATCTTTCTACAATTTTATTATTTCTTATTTCTCACCCTCATTTTTTTCTTTAACGGAATCCTTGTTGTCTTGCATATACCCAGATTCTCAGTTAATAACAATATTTTTTTAAAAAAAAACAATGTTTGTTTATTGTTAGTGACCTAGATGAATTAACTAACAAATGAATATATATATGTAGGCATCTTCAGGAAGAAATAATTCAACTCAATGCCACGCTTTTCTTTCCTTACATATACCGAATCAAGCGGACCACAGCACCGTGAATTGCATACAGATAATTCTGCGGGGAGTCAAGAATGGAAGTAAATATACTCCGTGATGGGATGAGTTTTTTTTTTAGCTTCCCTTTTTTTTGGACAGTAGGCACATACCTAATCTGGAATAATACATAGCACAACCAATAGGAATCTATCTGCAATTCTGTCATTTACCGGATCTTGCATCGAGATCTGATTTGAAATACATGAATATATGTAAATCGCACCTTGCCAGCGGGCTCATATGAACTGTTGTCTGTCTGTCTGCCAGAGTACAGTAGTACAGTACAGATAAAATTGCAAATCCATGTTGTTATAATTATCCCACCAAGGTAATAATACTCCGTACTAAGTAAGGTTATTAGACGGTTCCAAGGTTCCAGGCCCAGACCCACCAACACATAAATCTAAGGTACTCCGTAGTGGCTAGTACTAGTGCAGATATAACTTTCCTCTTCTGATCGAACGGGTAGGTGTCTCCGGTATCTACCCTACCTAGGTTGACTCTGCTTGGGACAACCACCACGTGCATGCATCGTGCAGGACTAGATCTGCTTGTCCAGCCAGTGACACGACATGGAGAAACTAGTGCCTTTTCTTAGTATTCTTTATTTTGGGTTTGTCAGTCGGAAAGACTTTCCTTTCCATGAATGTCAGGATAAAGTACTCCGTACAGGAGTAGAAATGATATGTAGTGTACTTGAATCTATAAATATGTCGTCAATTCTCTTCGTCCCTTCTTTTCTTTCTATAACCATCCTTCGACTCGACTAGATACATTGTACATACACTGTTTGTATTCTGCTCCAACATGGCCGTCCCCAAACTCAAAGTCGGCGTCGCCGGTCTCGGCCGCGTAGCCAAACGTCATGCCAGGAATTTTCTCAACTTCACCCCCCAGGCAGAGCTTGTCGCCGCCTTCTCGCCCGACCCGACGGAGCTGGCCTGGGGCAGACAGCATCTCGAATCCTACGGTGTCACCCTCTATGACGACTACGACAAGATGCTGCAGCACCCGGGGCTGATGGCCGTCGTCATCGGGACTGCCACCTCCGTCCATGCGGAGGAGACGATCAAGGCGATGCAGAAGAACTTGCATGTGCTTTGTGAGAAGCCGCTTTCGACGGATCCGCGTGTTGTATGTTCATGACATATCACTGTGATGATGACGATGATGATGATGAATACGCTGACTGACTGCCTGCAGTGCAGAGAGGTGGTCGCCGAAGCGAGAAAAAGGCCACATCTGAAGGTGATGTGCGGCTTCTCCCGCCGCTTCGACGATTCGTACCGCGACGCATTCAACAAAGTCAGCCAGGGCCTGATCGGCCGGCCGTCCATCGTCCGGAGCCAGACCTGCGACAAGTACGATCCGTCCGGCTTCTACGTCCAATACGCGTCGTGGTCCGGCGGAGTGTTTGTCGACATGTCGGTGCACGACATCGATCTGACCCTGTGGTTCCTGGGAGACGACATCGTCCCCAAGAGTATCTCTGCCCATGGCATCGTCGCTGTCCAGCCCGAGCTGAAAAAGTACAACGACTACGACAATGCGGTCGGCATTGTCGAGTTCCACGGTGGAAAAATCGCCTACTTTTACTGCTCGCGCATGATGGCCCATGGGCAGGAGGACACGACCGAGATCATCGGCACCGAAGGCAAGGTGTCGGTCAACACCAACCCGCAGCGCAATCTGGTTAACTACTACCACGCCGGCGGAATCACCCGCGAGGTGCCCGAGGACTTCCAGGGCCGGTTCGAGAAGGCGTTTATCCAGGAGGCGAACGAATTCACCGACGCCTGTCTGAACAACAAGCCCCTGCCCATGAAGTTGAGCAACGCCGCCAAGGCGGTTGAGATCGGCGCCTATTTGCAAGAAGCCCTGGTGACGGGGAAGCAAATCCACTTTGACGAGTTTGGCCGGAGGATCGAGCGACCTAATCTGTAGCGCGTCCCGTTTGTATCAATTGATTGTTTGTCTTTATCGTCATGTCCTGCCCAAAGGTTAGTCGAGCAGTAGTTTGTCGACCAAGTCATCCATCATACCCGTCGTAACTCACACCACCGCAAGCCAAAATCGGTACAGAATGTATGATTACGGCTGTAGGCTTGTGACACTGACAGATCTGTCCTCCTCCCATTGAGCCTTCAAGGACTGTATTAGCGGCTCGCTCTTCCACCCCGTCGTCTTTTCCATGTTTATCAAAAACGCAATCGCGGCGTCTTGGGTCCGTTTATCGCGTAGACAGCCACCCCCTGTCGAGAAAACAATTAGCCAAACTTGTCTTCGGGGTTGAGAAGTTTACACTCCCAAAGCAAGGGTTAAGACTTACAAACAGAGAGAGCATGGCGAGCAGTGAAAAGCGTATTCTCTGCGGTTTTTTGATTCGATACGGCTATACCCAGGACGATCAGGAGATGCTCGCGGATCGACTTCTACATGATGGACATTGTGAGAGAATGATAATGACAACATGGGTAGTAATTTCGACGGGCTAGGGATAAGTCACTAACCTCTGTCCTTCTTACATGCTGGAAACAGTCATATCCGGATCTCATGTCCGACGCCAGATGATGAGGAGACACCGACGTCGCGAGAATAACCATCTTGGCGATATGGTAGTATTGTAAACCGATCGCTTTGCAATAATTGTTAGTAAAGTTAGAGATAGTCTTAACGATAAAATCCCTTACCATGGAACGGCGCTAGCATCCAGACTTCTGGAAGACCGCCTCGATACTGTTCCTCTTCTGTGCCACTGCAGGGCGGTTTGAATAGAATAGGCTCGAACGTCGACGGCCTTTTCCGTTTCCAATCTTCCACTTCCTGGTCTACCTGCTGCAAGCTCTCACTCCATGACCGGCCGCCGTCCAAAGGAGTGTGCTGCTGTCGCTCCTGAAAAGCACAACTCAACACCTTGGCCAGAAGGAAAACCATCCGGTTCGCCCAGGACACGTCATCGTTTCTCTGAAATGTGCTCGAACGGAGGTAGGTCTCCAGTCTGGTCCTCAGGGGCTGCTGCGAGACCAGAGATGCGTAGATGTCTTCACGAAGACACAACCATGCCGCAGCCTCTCCTAGACCGCCGGAAGAGCCAAAGTGGACGACTGAGTTCAAAATCCGTGTCGTCCCCAGGAGGTGGCATCGCTTGTCGTAATCTGTAAAACACACAAAAGTCAATGTCAGAAGCTCTCATAAGGAAAAAAAATTCTGGCCGACTGACTAACCATCCATTTCCTCATACTGCCGCAGAATAGCGATAGCCGCGAGAACATCCTCCGATACTTCGGTGTCTGGTGCCGAAAGAACCGGAATGAGGAGCTGCAAACATTGCGTGTGATATTGAAGAGCCTCAGTTTCGTCATAGCCCGAGAATCGGCTCACATGTCGTGAAGAAAATGCAAGTATGGCAAGGCGCAGAACTGGTTGACGAAGGGCCCTCCGTGGGGCCTCGATCTCGAAGTGTCTCTCAAGATCAGCGACGTCGGCCTGGGAGGCAGGTATCTCCTTGTTCAATATATACGCCAGTTGGAAGACAGAAGTGGGCTCACTCACCCATTGCGCCATATTCTCAATAAAATTGCGCATCAAGTATGCTTCTCTTTCAGTGAACTTGTAGGCTGCAGCCTCGATTGAGGAATTGTACGAGTAGCCAGTCGATTGCTGCTCGGACACTACAGCAAAGGTACTTCAGCATCATGGCTCGCCAATAGCACAGATTTTTGAGCTTTAGACATACCACTCAAACAGTACTGCTGATATTCTGGTGTTGAATAACCATCATCGCTGAGGTTCTGATCCAAGCCACGTTCACCATGGTTGAAGCCACTGATGGAATCAATGGCTGTGCTATCCTCGGAATGTCGTACCGGGACGTGTTCATCATTATCAATATCATCATTCAATTCTTCCCCATCCACAGGGCATTCATTTTTGTACCACTCGATAATCTCTTGTGTTTCGTCGTGGTATCGCACTGACATTTAGAGAACCGGGTTAGCCGCACGCACGATAAGGAGGCTTACTTTCAAAGAACTTGCTTGCTTACTTACAGGTCTTTGGCAGTCTCAACCAAATCTGGTCCTTGGAAAAGACAATGCTCTTATCATCAACAGACTTTCCCGCATAACGAAAGCGGACGTTAAGCGGTCTCGAGCATGGAATGTTTCTTTCCTGGCATCGCAAGCAGGACGATATCCGAGTATCGCCTATTATCACGCTTAGAACGGGAGAGGAAGAGGAGCAGGACAGGACAGAAAGAGAACATACACTTCAAATGATGGGCTGTATATTGACAGAATGTCACAATCAGTGGCTTTCGTTACAAAAGAGAGGCTAGTTTGGTCAAACGTAAGAGACACACCCCGACAGTTTTGACTACCCATTCACTCTGTCAGCAGATACAAAACAAATTGACGGGATGTTTTTGAAGCGCTCCGCTCTTACCATCCTATAATAACTCTCCTCCTTCGTGGTAGGCGACTATCGCATGCAGTCTTCCGAACCATCGGACAAACTAGACTGATCAATCGTCAATCAAATCCAATGCGGGGAAAACCGTGCCAGCCCGAGCGTCATTTGGTTTTGTTTCCAAGTGGGCGGTTGAAACAGCTGTAATTGGTAATGAATGACTACCGATATATCTCATTGGCAGGCAATGAAAATCTACATACATTTATCTCTCTCCAAGATGAGGTCGTCATCGGATTACCTTCCGAGATGGATTTGGAATCCACCCAAACCGCTTGCGTATAGCATTCACGTGACACATATATGCCCTACCTATTTCTATCCCTCCATACGAGGCAGCAGACATATTTATTAGAAAGAAAGAAGAGTAGATATGATGGGAAATAAAGGATATAGCATTCAAAACTAATATTGCGTAAGAACTGGAAACTGACTCGCAGCGATCAGCATCCATGCAGGTCATTCATGTCTGAAAATAAGCCTTGTAGATCATCTTCATAAAAACGCAGTCTGAGGAATATGATTGGACATATGCGCTGCTAATGTGAGGGGAAACCATGAACTAATGGGTCAATGTCTACAGGGAAGATCTGAAATAGGTCCCCGCATCAGATGTTTCGAAACCCATCTTCCTCACGGGAAGGTATGAAATCTATCCCCCTAACGAAAACAGGTCCAAAGTGACGAGTCACTTATTTATCAAGAAATCTTACAAGTTGCTTCCTGCAGGCATTTACACGCTTAACGAGAGGGATGGTCAGAAACTATTAGGGATGTCATGTATTCGTAAATGTTATCTGCGTGAACAAGCTTGTCATCTTCACTGCTAATCTTTTGCATTGGCGTAGCACATGAGAGGTTGCAAGCCTCGTGTCACGTTCAAGAAATGAAATCTACCCCGACAGATTCCTGGAATCTTGATGCAGCGTCTCATATGATACCAGTCATCCGCTCGACCAACCCTGGTTCTAGCGCTCCCAATAGCATGCCAGACGTACAACATAAGTCATCCGAGAAACGTAGGGGAACCCCCTGCAAAGGCAGAGGAGGGTAAAGAGAATACATAGGGAAACCAAAGCCGTCAATTTACAGACCATGACAGTGGAAAAAAGAGAAAAGAAAAGGAAAAGGAAATGGGGAAAATGTAAAACATGAAGACCTTGGGCTCGCTATGCTTAACAATGACGGAATCTCAAAGGCAAAGGAAGAAAAAAGCAGACGAGTAAAACAGGATATAAAGGCATGAACAGACCTCAAAAAAAAAGTCGTGAAGGTCAAAAAGCAAAACAAGACTGAATGACGAGAAATAATTTTTCCAACCGCTAAGATGCATGAGTGACAAAAGAAATCGTCACCTAACACCGTGTCATAAAATTAGAGGATTGCATGCAATACATGTCGTAGAATACCCGTAAATAGCGGACCGTCTTGACGCCGTATCAACCGATGCCATAGACGCTGACATGACTGAGTCGAATTTGTCTGCTTCAACAGACATAAAAAGATTTATGCCGCCTGAGGCTGGCTGCGGCCCTTGGAAGCGACGTTGCCTCCACGGCCGCGCGGAGCAAATCCACCACGGCCCGAGTCACGCTGGAAACCACCGCGACCCTGGCTGCCAGCACGAGCATCGCCACGGCCGCGACCAGCGCCTCCTCGGCCAGCACCGTAGCCATTTCCGTAATTGTTGGGACGGATACGACGTTCTTCGACGTAGATCTGTTCAGATCCGATCTGGTGAGGGTTGGCAGCAACGGCCGCATTGTAGCCAGCCTGGTCAGCAAAGTCGACGAAGGCGCAGTTCTGCAAAAGGTTTAAAGTCAGTTCCGTTTCACACTTGGGTCATGGTGGGTCTTTTTCATACCTTCTGACGGTTGACGTCGAAGTACAGAATCTTTCCGAACTTAGCCAAGGTCGACTTAAGCAAAGCCGCATCGACTTTTTCGTTGACGTTCTTGATATAAGCAGAAAATTTCTGCTCATCACCCGCACGGGACTGCCGCTTGTTGTCGTGGCCTGCAGTCTGCCAGCCGGAGCCGTCATTGGACGATTGCTGGCTGGGCGCGTTCTCAGTAGTGGCAGTAGTAGCGGCCGCCGCTGGCTGCTGATCTTGCTGCGGTTGCTGCGACTGTTGTTGCTGCTGCTGCTGCTGCTGTTGCTGTGCGGTGGCGGGTGCAGGCGCAGCGGCAGGCTTAGGCTGGGTAACAGGAACCACGGGCGTAGCAACCGACGCGGCTCCAGCGTCGTTCTTGGACGCGATGCTAGCCCAAGTCTTCGGGGCGGCCTTTGCTGGAGGAGGAGCTTCCTTCTCCGGAGCTGGGGCAGCCTGGTTCGCAGCAGGGATAGGTTCCTGCGTCTTGGGAACCTCCGGTTTGACGGCCTCCTGCTCAGCAGGGACAACCGGAACTGCGGGTGTCACAGGCACGGCAGGTTTCTCCGGCTGAACAGCAGAACCATTGGCCTGAGGAGCGGGCTCGGGGGCCTTCTCGGGTTCACCGTTGGCAGCAGCAGCAGCCGCCTCGGGTTTCTCGTCAACTTTAGCGGCAGCGGCCTGGGTGTCTGCCTGAGCCTCGACTGCCTGTTTCTCAGGCTGAGGTTCAGCATTGGCGACGGCAGCATCCTGCGTGGCGGCAGGCGCCTCAGCCGGCGGAGCTTGTTCGACAAACTCTTCATCCTCATCGGCAAGGTATCGGAAGATGTCATTCAGCACATAGTAACCGTTCGGCTGTTCCGCCAACACGAAGGTCTGAACGAATTTGCGAGATGGCTCGGATCGGTTGGAGATTTCACCAATGACGGAGACAAGGATGTTTTCGAACGAGGCCTGGGAGTCGACGTTCAGGACACGGACCTTGCAGTCGTGGAAATCGAGCTCCCTGATCTTCTCCTGTATAGCCTAAGGCAAGGTCAGTATACGGGGAAATCAGAATGGCAGACCGTATTGCACAAAGAAATCCGTACCTTCTGACCAACCACAACCGGGACCGACTCAGCTTCGTTACCAAACACGAACTGAGAGCGGCGCGAGTAGAAAAGGTGCAGCTTCTCGGGGCTGCGGCTCAATGTGGTGTAGTACTGCTCCACGAAGTACCAGCCAACCTCATCTTTGGGGATCTCGTGCTTGCTATCGTTAGCGGGAGGGGGATTTGTTGGCGTTGAAGACTGAGTAGGCTGGTAGTTGTTGTTGGTATTGTTGACAGCGGCGTAAGAATCCGCAGGGTACGCGTGCTGAGCAGGGTAGTTGCCGTTGACAGGAGCCTGGGTCGTGTCGGCCATTATGAATCGTGGCGCGTGAGAGAAAAGAATCTAGTCTAGTCTGAGAGGGAAGGAAAAGGCGACGAGGGCAATAAGGGACAGCGAAACGCGTCTATTTGGTGCTGTCAGAAAGAAAGTCTAAATTTTGTTTTCTCTCCGCTCGAAACCTGATTTTGGAACGAAATTTGTTAGTATTGATGTCCACGCGCCACGTGAAGGGTCCACAACCTGAGCGACCATCCACAACAGACAAAGAGAGCACTTACCAAGTGGGATGGCGATTAATGCTGTACAGAAGAAGGTGAGGAAGGATTGCGCACTCTTTGCGATTCGATGGAGCAAAGAGACGTGTAGTGGGAGGGAAAAGAGGAAGCGAGGTAGGTGAAAAGATTCTGCGAGCGCGGAATTCAAATGCAGAGAAAAATGGGACGACGAGAAAACAACGCAAGGACAGTGGAGATTTAGAGAGGAGGGGGGGGTTTTTTGGGATGAGAAGTGGAAGGTCCTTTGCGAGAAGCAGAAACGTGAAGAGAAGATGAGACGGGGTGGAAGGTAAGGTCGAAAGTGCGATGGGAAGTTGGGTGACAGACTCAGTTGAAGCTTCTTTCGTGCGAAATTGCCTCCTGGTCTGGCGGTTGATTATTGGCTGCGCGGTGAAAAAGTGAGGTTCGCCCCGATCGGGTCGCTGCCGGCCCTCTAAGGTTAGCGCGATTCACTCCAGAAACAAACAAAACAATTCAGCCCAGTCAGTCACGCCCAACAAGCAGTCCCAGATGAGCAGCAATTCGCAATATAGTGGATGTAACTAGCTGAATATACAGAGAAAGGTAGTTGCGAAGCTGGACATTCGATTTCTACCTTCGCAACGACTGCGTATCTGTTCTTTGTCTCCTCAGCACCGGCATTTCTACAGCAGGCGAGTCGACAGGGTGCAATGGACCAACCAAATGGATCAGCTGCAAGTTTTCTTCAGAGAAGCACCGAGTTAAATTTATATGCTACCAACGACTGTTCAGACACGCTGTCACACAACACAGATGTCGCTAACTTACAGTCCATGAAGGCTCTCCAGGTCCAGCCGTCTTGGCGCACCACGGCAGTCATAACATGACATTGGACAAAGGTGAAGAGATGGAAAAAAAAAACTTAGGGAGCAAATGTCATAGGTATCAACACTGGTCGGAGATATCATTGCCATAGGAATGGGGGCAAAAACACAAGACATAGCATAAGAAGATGACTCTTATCGTAATCGACTGAGGCTTGACACAGGGCCCTAACACAAGAGTCACAACACATAAGATGCATGTCAAGGCAGAATCATGAAAGGAAATTCGATGCGCGCCATATTAATTTACTGGAGAAACAAGAGACACGGAAGAAGAAGAAAAAAGATCCCACCCCAAGGCCACTCCATCCTATACAACCTCCCTCACGACGTCGTCGTAGTCTCGCTCTCCAGAGCCTTCTTCTCACTTAAGGACGAAGCTTTCGGACGCATGACAGCGTCCTGGCTGGTCATCCTCCGCCCGAGGGCACGCTCGACCTTGGCTCCCAGCGCCAGCTTGTTCAGATTGTCTGCCTTCTCCGGCGTGGGGACGAATCGCTGCTTCGCCAGAGGCTTGTTCTCTAAACGCTCAATGCCCTCGGAATACTCTTTGATATCCGCCATCCGGGGGTCTGCGCTGGACAGGCTGGAAATGGTGTTGTCTGAAGGGGCAAGAGATGGAGTTCTGCTGATGGTGGAAAAGCGCTTGGAACTGCGATTGGAGCTGAGCTGCTCTGGGAATCAGCGGGTTGGAGTCCAGAAGGAGAAAATGGAGGTCATAAACACAAGTCGCAAAAAGTTCAGAGTATTTCAGATGGGAATGACTGGATCAGGTGAGAACGCGCGTACCGATGGAGCCATGATAGGCCTCTCCGAGTCCAACGACGGATGGCGAGCCATGTTCTTTTTGTATTCAGCACAGAATTCCAAGGAGAATTCGAACGAAAAGGTGGATGAGCGACTAAAAAAGCGGTGTGTTCTCGTTCGCAGTTCGTACAGCGCCGATCGAAAACTGGGGGGGCTGATAAACGTCGGGGGACTTGCTGTCCAAGGTTAAGGCTATAGAGTAGAGCGACCCGATCACCTGCCGCCGAAAGAAATCCAAGGACGATCGGGTTGGGTGTGGGCAAAATGGGCGTGCCTGCAGAGTGATACTACTGTAATGGGATGGAAAATGCGTCAGCACCGGGGAGAGAAGAATTTCAGGCCGACTGACGAGGTAGTTGGATCAGTTAGGCCGGGGAGGGGTTCTTGATTCAGTTAAGTCGCAGGCGGCGATCAACGCAAGGTAAAACCGCGAGTCGACACGCCGTCGCCCAAGTGGGAATAACTTACTCCTGACCTGAAAAATGCAGTGAGACCAACTGCAAACGCCTGCAGGCTTAGTCTCTTGTTCGCTTCTCCCTGTTCACGTGGCTGACCAGGGATGATAAAGAGGGGGCGCCGAGTGATCGCAATACCCGGCCGTCCGACGTTGGAAGAATTGAAGTGGAGGCTACGACTCGGTTGCAACTCCAGACATAACAACCAGTCGTTTGCTTTCAAAAGCAGGTGGCCGTGCCAAGAAAGGAGAAGAGGAGGCGTTGGAACTTGGCAGTTGGGGGCATCCAAACTGCTGCTCAGGAGCGTTGGTTCCACTCAGAGGTTGGGCAGTGCTAACGGCGCAGCCCCAGCCTCCCCATTCATGCAGTTGCCACGTGCAAACCAAGATCCCAGGAGCAAACCAGGTTTACGGAGTCATGGAATGCACCAAGCAATGTAACTTTACTCAATTAATAATAATGCTGGTCGCTACTGCTGCATGCCACAGTCGGCTCAGCCTGCTGCCCCTTTACTTGGTGGCCCTGTGGGGATTACTGATAACCGGGCATCCTCGGATGCACTAAGCAAGAATACTCGTACATGCCTGCTCTTCTGCCCCCTCTTCTGCCTGCGTTACACGTGTGTCCTGACATGCCCATGCCCAGTTACAGGCATGTGCCAGTGTTCCATGGCATCGGCATAGGTGGTCATTGCTTGCGGAGTCACGTCTGCTTGGTAACCGGTCAGGGAGCTGTAATATTAATAACCGGTGTGATAAAAGCCGGAAGTTAAAGGGAGGCGATTGATTGGTTTCCAATCCATGCTGCGCCTCCTGGATTGCCCTCACTTGCTGTCATTTGAATTGATCATCAGTGATGCCAAGCTTGGGAGCTGATAAATGGGCAAAAGAGGAGACAGCACATTATCAAATCACTGGCCAGGGCTACAGAGTAGTCGAAAGTTGTGGCATCTGTGCATTGCGTTTCTTTGTTGCCTCAGTTATAAAGGGTAGCTAAAGCGTAGTCTGTATCCTCAGTCAACCCTTGCTTGCAACCAAATCCTTTATTATTAATTTATTACAAGGCTTTTACGACTCGCTCCGCTCGTCTAGGCTTGAAGGGGAAGACTACCTAGTCTTACTAATGCCTATAAATGCTCCGGACCTTCGGCCCTCCGCCAGCCTGTAATATATGTAAGCCTTTATAAAGCCTCTGAGGAAGCCCATAAGAGAGCCATTATGAAGCCTATATAAGCTAATATGAAGCCTAGTATACCTAAGTGCTTATACCTAAGTGCTCCGGACCTTTGGCCCTCCGCATACCTGTAATGTAAGCCTATATAAAGCCTTTAGGGGCGCCTATAGGGTGCCAATGTAAAGCCTATAAGGATGCCAGCATGAGTCCTCTAAGGGTGCCATTATAAAGCCCATGTAGGAGCCATAAGAAGGGGCTATGTGCATGCGGGCTGTAGCCAGCTGTAGGAGCGGACAGATGCTTATGTAAAAAGTGCTTTCACGTGATTTTTAGGCCATTTTGACCAATCACATGTGCGGAAATGTATTAGTAAGCGACGTTGTCCGCGGAAAGTGTTATTTTCATTATAATAGAGGGGATTTACTCCGTACGGTAGTCAGATCTCCCTGCACTAGCACTTACTGCCCCATGTGACCAATGTCACACTGGTACCTAAGGCAGAAAGATCACATGACAACCTCTGAACCAGCCCTGCATTTTACCCAAAATCCACATGGACACCATCTGGAACAGAGAAGCTCCAAGATCCATGAAATCAGCTGCGAGGTTTCTGAGTCATGTGACATCTCCTATACAGGTTAGTGTATTAGTCACATGACACGTAAATTAATGTCACGTGATTGAATCATTGGCGGGGGGTTCGGGAAATAATGTTTGCCTGAGGTACCTATCAATATACAACCTAGTTGGATATATCACCACTTACTTGATCTGATCTGACCTCATTGATTATTGTCTCTTCCTTCTAGAATCTCATCTAGACCTTCCCTTTTGTTTACATCAGCCATACATCGACCTTTTTCTTCTATTCGAATCCAATATCAGAGAAATAGATGGCATAGTTACATGTACCGCCTAGGCAACGCATAACCCCAAGACAGTGCAGCAGAACAAAAACAACATAAGAAACAAGCAGACAAAACAATGCCGAAACAAAAGGCCCTCCTGAAGGAGACTACATCGAGCAAAAGCAAGGGGAAGAAGAAGGGGAGACAGCAGAACCAGGTATGTTGAGCTCGCGCTAGTTTCAAATAAATTTAGCGGTTTGCTACTATGATGTCTTTGATACCCTCCAGCCACAACACAACGGACAAACAAGGCTCGTTGCCATGCAATGTACAGACTTAAAAAAAAAACGTCGATCATCGCTATCTACCAATAACAAACGCATACCCCATGAATGAATAAGAGCCAATAGCTAACATCGATATGCTGACGACTTATATCTAGGACCCCGAGACGGCAGATGAGTTCCTCGCTGGTAAGTACCTATTTCTAAAAAAAAAAAAGAAAAACACCTCTCGCTCAACTCCCAGAATTCCCCAAAATCAAATTCAGCCTAATTTGTAGTAAAAATTGCCCAACCTAACCTGACCTGACACTGATACATATTGATTATATCTAGCTGGCGTCGAGCAGGAGGAAGGCGGCGAGAAATGGCGGGCCGGAGACGCTGTCAAGGCGATGCGGTTCTTCATGCGCGCTATCGATTTCTATGATAATGGACTGGCTAAGTTTCCTAATTCGTTTGATTTGGCTTATAATAAGTAAGTCCCTTTTTTTTTTGTTTTTTCCCCCCTTAAAAAAATGATAATCTTTATACGGGAATGTTTGAGGTGAAAAGACTAGTCGTCTATCGAGGCCAAAGCTGGAGGAGTACATTGTTATCAACAACAATCGCTAACAAATACACACAGAGCAAGAGTTCAGTACGAAATAACGCAACATCCAAAATTGGCTTCTCAGCTTCCGGCCCCGCTGATCAAACTCTTGCACATCGCCCTCCAGTCCCATCGGGAGGCTCTCGCTCTCCAGCAGGACAATGCAGACATCCTGTTCAACACGGCGCAGGTCCTGACGAGCCTCGCAGAGGCTATCACCGAGTCAAAGCGCCCCTCGGAGGAGCAGATCCAAGAAGCCCTCGGGTATCTTCGAGAAGCGCTCGAGCTCTTCCAGCGCTGCTTGGCTCTGCAGGAGCTCCGCTACACAGAGTCTCAGGAGCAGATCAGGATGATGGAAGCCGGCGAGTTTGACGCCGCAGGTGATGATGCTGGGGTGGCAGTATCGCAGGGACAGGGACCATCAGAACCATCGGAACCACAGGAGTCCCAGGAAGAAGAACAGTGGGCAACAGTGGTGGAGCCGGTCACAAAGAACACCCTGGTGGACACAGCTGTGGCGCAGCTGGAGACACTGGCGACTCTGTGCAGTCTTCTGACGTTCGATCCTGGAAGCGGTATTGCTTGGGTGGAGGAATATTCCTACGATCTCTTGAGGACAAAGATCCCCGCCTATGTCGAGGGAACAGACCGACATCACGAAGTTGCCCGGGCTCGCGCGCAATTCTTGGCTGCTCTCACCGAGATTCTGTACAGAAGCGGACGGATAGATGTTGAAACGTATCAGAGGGAGCTCAGTGGCGCGTTCCCTCCCGACTTAGATCTTTCCAAGGACCCAGTAGGGCTCTGTAGCAAGGCCGAGGCCCTCACATCGTTCAATTCAGCCATCGCGGGCAACCTACCTGCGCAAAGTGCTGAGCAGGCAAGCAAATCGTTAGCGCTGCGCTGGCAATCCCTATCGTCAGCTTTAGAAGCCTTGTCTGCGGCATCCAAGATCGCGACGGCTGAAAACGTTCCCAAGATCCATCTCGCGAGGGGGGATGCAGAGATGTCGCGGTGGCAGTTGGGCAGGCCGCCATGGAATTATGCAACGTCACAGCAGTACGCGGCAACGCTTCTTAAGAACGCTCAGACATATTATCGCGGTGCGGCCGCTCTTGCTCGCAGAGATGGGGCCGCAGAACAAGAGAGAGATGGTTCTTGTAAGGAGGCACTGGCGGCAGCCTTGGCAGGCGACAAAACCAAGCTGGAACAGCTCAGGAGTGCTGCATCCAACGAATTGCTGGCAGTTGCCGAAGACATGGTGGAAGATGGATTGGTAACGTCCACAGACGTGGAGGCTTTGTTGTCGTAAGCCATAGCAAGATAGTCTCATAGGCCAAAAAAAGCTCATTCGTAACTCCGTATGTTGCGGTAACGATGCGTTCGTTACATGGTCTTTCCATGCGTTCAGATGTCCACTCTGGCCTTAACCTCTTCGTCCATCTGCAGACTCTCCTGCCGCAGACTGTGCTCCTTGCTGAACTGAGTCGATGCCTTGGCGGCGCCTTCGAGATCTCCCACCACGGCCTCCAGCCCGGAAAGCAAGGACTCTATCTCCTTTCGTTGAGCCTGGATTCTCTCTGCCAGCTCGGCATTCTGCGACTGTGTCGTTTCAATCTTGGCATTGAGAGAGGCCTGCACCTCTTTCAGGTAAGGTCTCAAGTGAGCTTGGTAAAGCTCATCCGCGCCAAGTGTATGCGGACTGTCAGGACAGGAAGAAATACGCGGTCAGCAAAACACGAAAATAGAAGAAAAAAGAGCAAGACAGCAAACATACGCTACCGGATTCTGACCCTCTCCGTTCTCCTTCCGCCGCCTCGCCTCCCCCACCAATCTATCCAGCTCATTCAACTGCCTAATCGCATCGCGCTCGCGCATGATGTCGTCAAACTCCGCCTTGGCGCTCTCTTCCAACTTGGCATTCAATTGCCGCCACACCGACTCCAGACTGGCAGGAACATGCTTCGCGGGCGTAGGGAAGCAGGCCGCGAAATTGGCGTACGAATTCGCGCGCAGCGTCCGCGCCAGAGCCTCGTTGAATACCTGCTGCAGACGCGATGCGCGTGGTCCAGGAGTCAGAGGGACCGGCGCCGGCGGCGGGGGAGAAGGCGATGCGGCATCGCAGCCTGGTTGTTGTTGTGATTGATCATTGCCTTGCTGGGAGGTTGTTGATGGCATAGTTATTCAATTTGATATTTTGTTTTTTTTTATTATAGTGATAAACAAAGGGTGAAGAAAACTATTGTAGGATTGTCGAGTTGCATGGGCTGTCTCCAAAAGGAGGGATAGTCTTGATTCTTCTGATAAGATGCGGAACGAGGCCACGCCCGACGCGACGCGAAGCGTCCGTGACACGTGATCTCCGCACGGGTTGCCGCCCATCGGAGATGATTACTATTGGATGAGATCGTTACACGGAAATCTGTCTCTACCTATATCTTCGAGGTTTCACACAGAATTAATTTAAATGGAATGTATCGCTCTTGCTTTTATTTATATAATGATGAAGGATGAGAGACACTTTTGAAAGTAACATTTCATAGATCAACCTTCCATTTGTCACCGGTATGGTGATAGTCCTGTACACGTCTGACTCCTCTCAGGTAGAGTCTGTGTCAATTTGCGGGTGCATTGCCAATTCTCGCGTGCTCTCATTGCTATGGAGGCTGCTGCCTACTCTGGCACTTGGGCCGCCGCCCCCGCGGGAGAACTCTAGTGGCTTGCTGATTTTGTACGTGCGAGGTTTCCGGTCGCGACGGAAGAGCTGTTTAATTGATGACCACGATATCGCGCAGTAGATGATGCTATTCCAGAACCCTTGCAGGGGGAGGACAATTGCCGACGTGAATTCCAGGCCGAAGTTGTTGATATCCGGATAGGCCAAACTGTAAACACGGTTCACGGTCGAAGGGACCTGTTCCACAGGGAGAGCACGCCTATCAGTCAGTATTGTATCACCTTGTATTTAATTTCATGTGTGCAACAATATGGAGAAGAACCAACCCATGTCACGAGCAGCGCGACAAAGTACAGCATCGCATACTTGCAATATGCCCACGCGGCCGCATTCGCCTCCGCTTTTGCCGGGCGGCGTGGATGAGTTGCCCCGGCTCCTGGAGATCTCTCCACCTTCTTCATCGGGATGGTATTGCCGTCATATCCGTCGCCACTTTCAACCGTAACAGAGTAGGAGGCGTATAGATGCGTAGCCGATCCTCGCTGTCCTCCCTTGTCGTCGCTGCTGATCTTATCAGGATCTATCGGAGCTGTCTGAGCAGCCTCGCTGGTGATGTGGATTTCTGTGATCTTGGATCCTTGAGCTTCAAACGGATTATCGATCGCAGTCCCAGGATCCACACTGCTGATATTCTGAAGCTGACGTCGCTTCTTAAAGATTTCTTTTCCGGCCCTTATGTAGATGGAAAATGTGACTAGGATGACGAACCACACTGGGCCATAGAAGACCGCAATGCGGAGGAAGTCCCATGGCATCGAAACCCAGCACCATAGCTACTTGTAATCAGCACTGGTACAGTCCCTGTTTGCTCAAAAGATGTTTTCTTTCTGGGACAGGACTTACAACTGCTGAGCCATATATGGGTCCATTCGTCTCATTCTTGACGAAGAAGTATACAAAGGACGGAATAAATGGCAGACCATAGCAGAGAAGGACATATTTCCATTCCAATCTTCGCAACCTCGAAGCATCGTATTTGTAAAAGAAGGTCAAATAGACATTAAATGCCATGGCGAACGTCCACAGAGCATCAGCGGGCATGAACCTGAGGAGTGGTCAGGGAAACTCTCCTTTTGCAGAGGTAAAACTGGGAGAGCTCTTACCATTGAATGAGGAAACCCTGAAACTGACATAATGGCGTGTTGACACCATGGAGGATACCTGACCGTGAGATGAGAGTTGCGACATTCGACATGATATTGCCCCATGAGGCGTAGAAAACGAGACGATTGATGGGTTTGCGAAATGTGGGTGATCCAATGAAGGTGCTTATGACAACAAATGTTCCCACCAGAGATAACACGGAGCAGGCTCGCTCGGCAGCCTCGATGGCATAGTATTGTTGTTGGCTGAATGACATTGTGACTGGCAGAACCACAACCTGCAATGCCCTCCTCGGATGTGGACTTGTTTGATTTGAACGATATCTGGAGTCAACTAAGATATTATATCCGGCACTTGTATTGCGTAGTTGGATAGTGGCGACAAAGAATAGGTCAGAATAAAGAATGCGAAGACACAAAGGCGATATCTGCATCAAATGTTAGGCATCATTCGTCACAAATGCGAAAGAAAGCATACCCTCACAGGAAACCTGGAGTTGTTCCTTTCAGGAACAAAGATGCAGCAAGCAGTGTTTCGTATGGATATCAGAAAGATTGGTGAAACGAAATTGAACCGATAGTGGGCAACCATATACTATCGTTTCAAAGATATCTCGTATTCTTCCTTTACAGACTGCTGGCTCACTTGAATACGGAATTTTAGAACCACATAACAGCAATCTGGTCGAGGTAGATTCCGCGCGAGGACATGGAATTATGGCAAGTAATGAACAATCTCGATACTGTCCGTAACAAAGGAGCCATTTGAAACAAGAGGGACCTCCAGGAAAAGGAAAATGAAACGGTCATCCGCTATCATTGCCAAAAATCTCATCCAGGCGAAGAGGTACATAAAAAGGAGCCCTCGGTACCTCTACCCCCCTTGAATCTTCTTGGGCTCGGAGATGGGTACGGAGTACACGGACAAGGGCCTGTGCGACACGAAACAGGGATCTTGAACAGGGCCGATGGTGGCTTAAACTCGGCCCTGCTCGCTGGGGTTGTTCCCTGATAGGGCACAGTCTGTTAACGTACTCTGTACCTCGGGAATAAACACACGCCGGACTCCTGACGTTTACCTATGTCGATCAGAAACGCTTGGACTCTGGGGATCTTTTGATCGACTATGCTGTCATACACCGGCAGAACCCAAATCATCCTCTTGATCGGGTGCGGTTCCGATAGTATGGTGAACCTTGTAAACGTCACACTGCCGATTTGACCTATCCGAAGGCGGATGCTGGCAGGAAGGACATTTGAACGGCGATGAGGGGCATAGACGTGACTGGCTGCATTGAAAGTAGATCCCACAGAGAGCTCGTAAGCTCTGCTGAGAAAGAGACAGCCAAAAATTCACCAACAAATCATAACCCGGATCGAGGAAGCACAAATGTCCTCCACCCGACATGGAAGGATGTCAGCCCACTGGGCACGATAAGCTGACTGGACGTGGCATAAGCGCCATCAGATTCTCACGTGCGTCTCAGCATATCACAGAGTGGAATGTTTTGCCGATCACTCCAATTTTCCAGGCATTAATTACGGAGCATGTTCACGTTTTGTTCAAATCGCCTCGAGTAATTAAAAAAGGCGGGACAGTGGCAAGGATTTTCACCGCGGCCTCGAATGACAGTGCCATATTGCAATAACGATGCGAAGTATAAACCAGCCCCTTGGGCCGCTAGCGCGGTAAGCCGAGCAATCATCGTCATGTCATCCACAGCCCCAGAAGAGACAATCCAACCTCATATTCCCTGATGGGGGCCCCGGTGAAGCTAATAATGACCGCCATTAAAAAAAAAAAGGGTCGTTTCTGGGGAGACTTTTCCTATCCTCTCAGGGGATGGGCCTCTATGGTCCAGTTGGTCGTCGGAGAGTCCCCGCTAACTGTGTCTTTCCTGGTGGGGAAACATTTGGCACTTTTCGCGGGGAAAGATAGCCTCAGCCGCTGTCCTGTGCGAGGCTTGCAATCCCTTGTCCAGCGGCAAACTTACGTGGACCCTCCATTTTTGCCTTTTTGTGATTCACTAGTGACAATAGGCGTTATTTCTTCGATTGATGATTTGGCTGTGTTGTTATTCCCCAACGGATATGATTTTAAAGAATCTGCTGCCAGAGTGGGACGGTTCGCAGCGGAGTCAATCAGGTCTTGAGACGTTTTCTTCTTGGTATTATGACTGGGATCGGGGTTGGTCTCGAATAAGAATGTGGATATATCTCCCGTCTGCCGTACTAAGACGGTGACGCCGACTAGCTGTATTTCAAATGGCGTCAGTTATTGAAGCCTGCAGGCGCATAATCTGATGCTTTGAATCCATGTTGCGTTCCGTGCCGGTACCCGGAAAAACAGGGGATGGTAGATGGAGGATTAACTTAATTAAGGTTTCTCCACCAGTAGTACAGGCATTTAGTACATACATGTACAGGGCAGTTGCGTTGGAACAAACCATCTGTGCCATCACATGCATGAACTGAAGCCCAGCGCCTGCTCACCATGAGTGCAGGGAGAATTAAGAATGCAAAAAAAAAAAATTCACGAACCGTTTTTATTTTATCCGGGTGTTGGGCGAACTCTATGGTTCTGCATGGGGACAAGATACCTGGCGCAACTAGTGCGATGTTCTAAGTCTTAACTCCATCGCTTCTGCGAATGTTGCTTCAAGCCTCAAGGAATAATAGGCAATGACCATTTTTTGAACTCGTTTCATTAGAATGAACCTAATCCCCAGTCAGTCAGTAGTCAGAACTTACTCCGGACAAGAGCTTTGTACCTGAAAGAAAAAGTAGAATACGGCAAAGTCCAGTAAGTTTACTAAGTTATCGATATGGATATTGCAGTGCAGTTCCGGAATGCAGGCATCCTACCGTCTTACGGTCTTACCTGCCGGAGTCGGTGTGATCGGCAGGTGCATGAAGCATCGCTGGTTATCGACCTGCAGGCTGCGGCAGCAGGCCGCCAGGCGATATTAACGATGATGACAATTTCCACCAAGTCAATTTAGAAGTTCACACTGAGTCATGCACTGGGACGAAGGCTGCCACAGCGTCTTGTGGAATTGGGTCTTTATTTTTCCGGGGAAGAGGCGAAGTCGATCACTTCAGCCTAGATAGAATATAGAGGAAAAAATCGCTTAAAAAAATTAAGCTTTGAGTTTTCATCACAGAAAGAGACCGTCGTTTCCATTGCAATGACAAAGATGGACGTTGAAAGGGTGAGATGTAGATCATCCTAGGCCGGATCTCTCAATCTCTCTCCATTAGCAGTGGAACTTTGGGTGCTCTAAGTCGGGCGGACAGGAAGGCGCATTGCAAGAGTACACAGTGAGGGAAGGAGCAGTCTGGTCTCCGTGACGATGATTGTCGAAGAACCGCGAGGCCCCTGCCTATCAGGGCCACTAGGGCCGGGGAAGGACTGGAAGGGGAAGGAGGTCTCCCGTCCCCCTGACGGCCTGACATCGAGTTGGTGCTTATTAACCCTGGCATCCATGGATTAGGTAGAATGGATGCCTCTGCAGCGGCACTGTTAGTCGTTGACATTCCGATTGGATAGAGACAATGGCGAAACTCATATGCAGCGGCTAGTTCGCTTCACAGTTCCAATATCGCATGGATTTGCCCACCAAGACAATGGCGTGTTCGTCCTTGCTACTGGCCAGTAGCGTGAATCACTGATGTACTGTAGTAACCCATGAAGAATAAACAAAATAGAAAAGAAGCTTGCAGATTCCGATAAGTTATTCCGTAGATTATTCTCACTTTGTGGACCTTTTCTAGACAGGAGTGGCAAGGGAAGAAAGGTGACCATCTCCAGGAAAAGGAGCTACGAAGAAATACTCTCCGTTTTTTCTCCTTCAGGGATTAAAGAGTGTGAAATATTGTGTATAATTGCTACAGAACACACACAGTGAAAAAAATAAATGATAACGGTAAAAATAACGGTAACATGACTAAGATCAAAAAACCCAACCTCCTTCGGGTATCAACGCCTTTCTCTGTGCAGCCCGCCGGTGATCTGACGCCTACCAGTCATTTTATCATGATTATTCCTGCCAATTTACTTTCCCTCCAAATTCAATATCCTTGCTGATTTCCCACCATTCCGCCATACCCCTCCGGCCATCTGCGGTTGTTGCTGTTGCTGTGGCTGCGGCGGCTGCTGTTGCTGCTGCTGCTGCTGCTGCTGCTGCTGCTGTTGT